AAACGTCAGATCTTTCCTAAACCTCTCCTAGCGAACGCCTCCGCATCTGGTCATATACCACATGGGGATGACACTTTTAATACTATAGGTATGTATTTACATCTTGTCAACGTTAGGACTGACAAGCTTAATCTTCCTTTGGAATACGGCGTGACGTCTGCCCTCCACACTTACCTCAACCTGGACTGCTGACCCACTCCAAGCGTGACGAACATGGTTACATCGGATTATTCCTCCAACTTACTCACAGTGCTGTAGTTGCTGTGCTTTTGAGTCATGCTGCCGAATTCAATCCAATTTTATAATGGCATTTTGGTCGAATTAGAAGCTCAAATTCATTCATGTCCATAACAATCAACCTGTCCGGATGCGTTTTAAGCATCTTTCAATAATTAATGCGAATGGTAGAAGAATAAAGATTGTCCAGTTGTAATTTATATTAAGGAATGATGAAAGCTTAGAATTACGCCTCCAATGAGACGGCTATTTAGCTGTTGTTTAAGATGACACCCAAAATCGGAATTATTGAAAGAAACAGGCTGCATTTGAAGTTTTGCAATGAGCCTGATGTTTTGTACATGTTGGGCCATTTGAGAAAATGTGTGGGATACATCAAGATGGGTGCGCCCTCGGAGACCTGAAAGTGGTAGGTTTCTTTGTTCCCAGCGTCATCCTTCAGAGAAAAGGCTAGGTTCTTCGTCTCCACACGTCCTGTTACTCGCATGATTTTATAGTTCTTACCGTCGACTTGTTCTTAAATGGAAAGTGAAATTAATCATCTCCGTCGGATCTTGAGCATCGCAACGTAGAGCGCAACTTACCAAAGGGGATAATTATTTTCAGCCCATTTCTGCTTGAAGACGTCGCATATCTGCTAATATTTCCCAGCAGCCTGATCTCCTTGAAAAAAGATCATTGGTTCATTTAACATTTTGCGCTTCAATCATGACCTTGACAGATGAATAACTAAGTCAAATGTAAATCTCAAAAATATTTCAGCATAATTGAAATGAAGGTGGTCTTTTGGTACCTTTATATTTTCATCCATGACAACAGCAACTGGCCTCAAATAGCCCGGTTGTGCGACAATGGGTTTTATGTAATGGACACCGCGGATCTCTGACAAGATAAGAGAAATGTGATTTGTAAAATCGAAATGACATATGTTTGGTTAAGATTTCCCTGTTGTTTGGTTTTATTAACGAACTTCAGATTTCACGAATTATTTTAAAATTTGGACTATATACCTGGGAAGAAGTCCCTTGAGTTCACTACGACGATCGCAATTGTTGCCTTTTCAGGATTTTCGGGTGTTAGAATAACCGCAGAGTAGTTTCCGTATGTTCCGTCATTGATCAGAAAACTTCTTCTTCCTTTTTCAGAAAAAAACATTTCACCAATTACCTATCTCTTATATTAGAAAGCACTATTTGTAGAGTATCATAAGTTATCTGAGCATCGATCAGAAAGCGAACGCATTTAATTGCATTTGTGTCATGGATGTGTCAGTTTGTGTTTGTGAATTTGAAGGGACAAAATGTAAAAGGCTCAACAACTCACTTGGATAGAATTCTACACATTTAATCGAAGGTTCGCAGGGATGCCTTGCCGTTCCATGCACAAATCCTGATGCCGAAGAATTGAACTGTAAGGAGAAAACCACATGAATATTTCGAATTCACAGTTTCTAATAAAGCAAATTTCGACATTTTACATACCCGGGAGGATGCTGGCACCTCGTAAGCAAGGTCGATATTGGTATGTTGCTTAACAGCTAGCACGAATCCAGCTGAAAATAGGGAGGGAATTGTCAGAAATTGTCGACTTACAGCAGCTACAGAAGTGGACATTAAGCAAGATCAGGGCAATAGTCGCTGTCAAGAGGATCACTGAATGACGGAGGATGCAGGTCATGTGGGGTAGTTTGGGTGGAAATACCTGTTCCTGCCTCATTTAGCGGACCTATGAATCTATTTATACCATGCCAATGAAGAGTCCAGTTCACTATCCAACAGGTGACCTCGCCCTTGAGAATCAGACTGTTTTCGTTGGGAGTTATGATTTGTTTACTGTACATTATTCTGACAGTTATTTTGCTCCATTTTTTATCGCGCGGGCGTCGACCATACATCCCACAGTGCAACCAGGCACTTGCCTAAGTCGCTGCCTCGCGCTCAGACACAGAAGCACTTTTTTCCATGTTTTGTTAAGGAACACTTGGCACTAGCTTCTGCGCCTTCGTCTTGGTTCAAAATGTTTTTCTGGAAATGAACTCATGAGAGATAGCAGATCACATGCTTTATAGAATTCTCCAGCAATTGGGACAGTTGGCGTTTTTACAGGTCCTGAGTCCTTCTTTGTAATGTGTTTCGATTCTGCCTTGGGCTTTTGGTATGCTTATTTTGACAAGGATTTTAGGGCTTGCATTAGGGATTTATGGCCTAGGGTCAGGTTTGCGGTTACGCTCAAGTTTTCCTTAAATACTTTCGGGTTAAGGCATACGGTTACCTATTACCGCCATGGTCATAGTTGTCTTTAGGATCATAGCTAACCTGTCGGCAGATGCAGTATTACATGCTTTGCAATGAAAATGTACTCACGAAAAGCAGCGAAGACGAAAACGCGAAAATTTTCAGCAAATAATTAGATTCAATTCTCAGAAATAAATTATGCCTGCTTTGGTGATTTGAATTGTATGGTGACATTTTGCTTGTTATGTTATCTATTATTACCCGTAAACTACAAACTGCCATGACAAATATACCAAGTTATAAGCATACTTGTTAACACACGCCACCTATAGATAACTACGTGTCTAGCTATATTTGTTATACATACGCGCTTGACCATAGGATTTAAAATCTTGAACTCCGATAATGCAGCCTATATTTTCGAAAAGTCGCAGTCGAGTCAAAAAATATTATGACTGACTAATGAAATGCATTACATTTACTGTCAACTGATATAATTTGTAGTAGCAAAATCTCGCGAGGACGCAGTACGCTACCTCAGAACGACGATATTTACAATTCCTGATAGAAGCGTACAGGCGAGTTCCAGGTAGCAGTTCAGGAGATGAAAATGCGATCACTGGAACAAGAAATCTATTTGCCTGACGTTTCGGATTCTCACTCGAATCCATCATCAGAGACATTCGCAGATAGAGGTGAAGGTGGCTCCAGGAGTGCAGTATTTATAGCACGTGTCTGCCTGGGACGGTTTGCACACTGCAATTAACCGTGCCCGCAATCACCGCTGGGGTCGTAATTGATGCGTTGGTGGCTTGTCGGTCCGAGTCCGAGTCGTTAATTGCCGTGATTTCGTCATCCGTGCTGGATGCTGGTGTGACGATTGCTCGGCAAACTGGCTCACTGTCACCGTGATGATCGTTCGCCCGCGCCTTCCCCACGTGACTGATATTCCTACCCAGGGAAAATCGCAGTACGGAATAGGGTACCGGGAGATCATTGTGCTTGTTGATGGATTGCAGTCCTGAGAACCATGACTCGAGCACCTCGCGGCTTACGCGGTTGTCACCCCTTGCGACGATTGTTTGTGAAAAGCAGAAATATTTTTTAAATTCGTATGGATGGAGTCCTAGCTTTTCGATGCCTTTAACACTTAGGCAATTTTTTACATCGGCACATATAGTAGAGACGACTAAAACTTGCAGAAATCGCCAATCACTTCTTAAGTCTCTATATTTTACAGTATTCACCGGACTAAGAGGTCATGAACTTAGTGAATCATGCGCGTTGCTCAGCGTAATGACTCAAGTAAAGTAGGATAAGCAGGCCAAATCAGTGAATATAAAAGAGAATCAAACGCGACTGCTTCACTGAGCATGCAGGAGTTTTCCGTTAGTGCGCCTTTACCTGTTTCAGTCCGTTGGAACTATGAACTTTCGTTTGGTAAGGCGGGTCAGCAACGTGGTACTTGTGCGGGACGTGGTTTGCGCGCAAGGGCTGCCATCTAGTATCCCGAAGATTTGTATTTGCTTTAGTTTTCAAAAATTATCGTAGACCCATGAGTCGAACAGCTCTCGGCCCACGCGCTTGCATTTGAAACTTGAAAATGTGGCCGGATGCCGTCTTTTCGCATTACTGCTGCTGTGTGCCCGAACACTGGTGTCCAGAGAAATCTCCCAGTTTCTCTGCCTAAGTTGCTGTTCCCGCCACTGCACCGCTGGCGGTAAACGACTTCAGACGCTTCCTGTCTTGACAACTGGTCTTTCGACCTTTTGACTTGGGGTCTGAACGTCGCCTCGGGCGTAACCCCGACTCCGAGTGCAGTAAGAAGTAGACTGGCGACTTCCGAGGAATTCTTCAAGTACAGAGGAACAGGCCGAAAATTAGTGCTAGTTGTCCTCCCGTGTCATTTATAGTACACATGCCCTCCCAAGCAACGACTGTCTTTGATAATAGGCTCGAATGATAATTCGAAAGGTCAGGATAATAAACCTGTTCCTGTGGTCGCATCTTCTTCTTCTCCTTCTTTTACGAAAAGCTTCTGAACATCCTCGACAAATGCGACCGCTAGCTCTGACGTCCTATCTTTGTCCGTAGACTCAAGCTCACCGCAGTCTTCTGACTAGTCTGTGGTGAGGTACCTGATTAATTTACCTTTAAAAATTTAGCCCCATTTTCTTTGACCGCTTTGCTTGTTTGAATGTGACGAAAAAAGACACACCTTTACAACCCGCGTTGCTAGCGTGCTCCTCTGTCGTGGTCTGTTGTCAGTTTTCTTAACGTTTAAAATCTCTATATTATTCATTGCTCCGTATTTACTTGCTGCCTTAAGGCTAGGGGTTCGTGCGATATAACTCGTTAGTTCGTGAGAACATTACCACGTACGACATTGGTGACTCCCGACGCTTACGCAGACTTTATACCTTTCTGTCCTACTGGATAACATTTAACGTACTATTTGCTTGTGAATATCTATTCCATTTACATTTATTTTCCTCACGAATTCTGATATTTTGACATCTCTGTCTTATTATGTCTCACTCCGATCAACAACTTGATGCCCCCGCCCAGTCCCTTCATGCAATCAATTTTACCTTGCCTGCATTCTGGCAACACGCTCCAGAACTTTACTTCATCCGCATACAATCCGCCTTTTATTTGGCCAACGTTACCAAGGAGCTAGCAAAATACCACAAACTCGTGGAGGTCCTCCACGCTAGTGTCATTTCTCAAGTTCAGTCCTTGCTATCTAATCCTTCTGCAGATGCTCCCTACTCCGCGTTAAAGGCAGAAATCCTCCGACTTAATTCTGTGTCTGACCGACATAGGTATCACCAGTTAATTAAGGAGGAGTCACTGGGTGACCGGAAGCCCTCAGAGCTTCTACGTCGGATGCATTCTCTCCTTGGAGACATGCAAGTTAATGATAAATTTGTCAAGGAGATGTTCCTAGAGCGTCTGCCCGCAGATGTTCAAACGATTCTGGCATCTGGTTATCAGAATCTTACGGTATCACAGCTGGCGGAGATGGCGAATCGAATGATAGAAGTGCAACGGTTCCAGTCACCTTCCGTTGCCCAGATCTCCTCATCTTCATCGTCAGTGAATGAAAATCTAGTGAAACAGGTGTCGGCCATGGCGGATGGGATGGCCTCCCTCAAAATACAGCTCGCGCGCCTAACTTCCAGTCGCTCACGCAGTCGTCGTCGTTCTCGTTCGCGACCTCGGACTGCTGATACTTGCTGGTACCACACTAATTTCGGCGTAAAGGCCCGTCGCTGTTCCACACCTTGCTCTTTTAAGCCAAAACAGGGAAACCATTCAGCCAGAGAATAGATGCGACCGTTTTCTCTGGCTCTTCCGGCTCTGGTCGCACCTTCTATGTTTGCAACACTGCGACTCGCAGACGTTTTCTGGTGTTCACTGGAGCTCAAATCAGTGTTGTTCCTCCAACTGCAGCTGATTGTCGTTTCCCTAGCCCTGGTCTTCATCTTCAAGCTGCTAACTTTTCCCTAATTCCAACTTTTGGCAGTCTGTCCCTCACTCTGAACATTGACCTTCGTCGGTCATTAACTTGGATCTTTGTGATTGCTGATGTCCCTCATGCAATCCTCGGCTCGGACTTTCTTGCCGAGTTTGATCTCCTTGTTGACTGTCGACCTGCCTGTCTTCTCGACCGCACAACCGGTCTGTTTGTTCGTGGACTAACTCCCTTTACAACCCCCACAAACTTATCTGTTTTGGATACGGATATTGCTAGTCCTTTTCGGCAACTGCTTCTTAGTCAACCCAACATAATTAACCCCCAGTTTCGCAGTGGTGAGGTTAAACATGATGCTGTGCACCACTTCCGCACCTCAGGTCCTCCCGTGTTTGCTCGACCGAGACAAATAGCACCGGAGCGTTTTCAAGCCGCGAAGGCGGAGTTTGAACACATGCTGCAACTGGGAATAATTCGACCGTCCGAGAGCCCTTGGGCGTCCCCACTGCACATGGTGCCCAAGGTGACATCAGGGGACTGGCGACCCCGTGGCGACTATCGTGCCCTCAACAGCGCTACCATTCCTGATCGGTACCCCGTGCCTCATCTTCAGGACTTTGCTGTAGCCCTTTTCGCCAAAGCGGTTTTCTCAAAGATTGATCTGGTGCGTGCCTTTCATCAGATTCCAGTCGCCCCCGAGTACATCCCTAAAACCGCCGTCACCACACACTTCGGTCTCTTTGAGTTCGTACGCATGCCGTTTGGTCTTCTTAATGCCGCCCAAACGTTCCAGAGGTTCATTGACCATGATTTACGTGGCCTACTCTTTGTGTACGCCTACATTGATGACCTCTTGGTGGCCAGCCGGAATGAAGAAGAACACAAAGAACATCCTGCCTTGGTGTTTGACCGTCTTGACAAGTTTGGTGTTGTCATCAACCCCTCCAAGTGCGTGTTGGGTGTGCCTTGGCTCGAGTTCCTTGGTCATCACGTTGACTCTGAAGGTTTGAGTCCCCTCCCCTCCAAGGTTGAGCAGTTCGTAATTTTCCTCCTCCAACTTCCAAGCGTCAATTACAGCGATTCCTCGGCATGGTCAATTTTTACCGTCGGTTCATACCGAACTGTGCTGTCCTCATGCTGCCGCTCACCAACATGCTTTCTGGTCCCAAAGGTCCCCTCGAGTTGACTGGTGAAGCACTGGCTGCTTTTGGGAGAATCAAGAATTCGCTTGCCGATGCCACCTTACTCACGCATCCCGCACCCCAAGCTCAGCTGTCCCTGGTGGTAGATGCTTCGACCGTAGCCGTAGGTGCAGTCCTTCAACAACACCTTGCTGGTTCGACTCAACCACTTGCCTTTTTCCCCGAAAAGCTCTTTTCAGCTGAGACACGCTACAGTACCTTTGGCGATGAACTACTTGCCATTTACCTGGCTGTGAAGCATTTCCGGCATTTCCTTGAAGGTCGTGGGATAGGCATGAAGACTAGACCAGACGACACCACAGCATCCTAACACCATTTCGGCCTACTGCAGCCGCCTGAGGGGTGATCCGCGTGACAGTGGGCTGGTGTCGGGTGGGGCGGTGTGGACCTGGTCATAGTTCGTTGTCAGGACAGACACCCCCCAGCGACCTGGAGAAATTTCCTGTTAGACAGCCGATGCGCATCCGATGGAGCAAATTACACCCCAGACAGCTGCCGAAGAATCATCGCAGTAGATGAAACCGCCTAAGATTACCGACAGACGAGGGCTAAAAAGCTGTCGGCAGAGTCGGGCGTATCTCAGAGGATTTATTTGTAGATAGCTATAGCTGCTAATCATAGCCCCGGCTCCACAACGTTGTTTGCATTATTATCTACATGCAAAAAGCAGTGGAATATATGTATGTGCCAAAGTGAAGGCAGTCGTTCACTGGGGGAGGGGGGGGTAAATATAGTCATGGGCACAGATATCATAATATAGCTTACTTTGTTTTATGCGTGGTTAGCTAATGCCGCCTGTGTGGCTGCATCCGAACCGCATATCACCGTGACCTAAATCGTCTACACCCTCATCGTTCGCTAAGATATGTGACGGCTCCGATTGTCCCGTGCCGTGCCGGTCTTCGGACAAGAAGTCACGTCAAAACATATAGAGGGGAGGCAACTTGATGTGGCGGTTGACAAGGCAGTCGGTGGATATCCGGGCTTTTTGCACCTGCCTTGCCGTATGATCGTCGTCCAAAGTCTACAATCTCAACGGCCTCAAATTACCATTTGCGCGGTATGGGTTGCTACATCCGAATTCGGGTCCGATCTTCGCACGCCCAAATTATGCACGTGCATTCGCGTTTGCAGCGCACGAATTTACAGTCTCTGAAGTTGGCTATATTAAGAAATGGCAAGATCTCATTTCGGTGGCGCACCTTTTAGGGGGTTAGAGATATGTTTAAGGGTTAGCGTTTGTGACTAAGTGTTAGGGGTTATGGTCAAGGTTAAAAGTTACAGTGCGTGACCTATCTCATGAAATGTTGGCTGAAATTCTCAAATGCGTTTTCGATTAGGAAGGATTACTTGGTCGCGGTTGTGATACTGATTATCTTTAGCCATACATTTTAGACTCGGCAGGATGTCTCCTTTAAAATGCACTTCTTTTCAATCTCCTGTAGAAATCGTGTTCGGTAAAAAATGAAAACTTAATTAGCATGCATTTTTTCCATTGATTTTCGATGGTTTTGAAAAGTCGATGGTAAAGTCAATCAATAGCGAATCACGTCCTCTTTATACTTTATATTGAAGGAAGATGGATAATTAGGTTTTAAAAAAGTTTCTAATTATGAGACTTTTTAGGACAGCGATATGTCCATTCACACAGCATCGTACCTGGCCGTTTACCACTTCTCCTCATGAAATGTACGACATGGTCCGCATCCATTGCAAAATTTTTTGGACTCTGTATGATATCTATTTAATGACATAGAAAAATATGGGATTTTCTTTACGCGGAACGCATGCACTTTGTAGAGTGTAATCACTAAGCGCTTATGCAACGAATGATCAGGCTCCAAGTTTTTTAAAACCTAATTATCCTTCTTCCTCAAATATAAAACATAAAGAAGACGTGATTCTCTATTGATTGACTAAAAGAAAGCATAGTTTTGTTTGTGGTTTCTATAAAATATATTTAAATTTCAAAGACCATCGAAACTCAATGGGAAAAATGCATGCTACATAAGTTGTCATCTTTTCCGAGCACGCTTTCTAAAGGAGATGGAAAAGATATGCATTTAAAAGCCGACATCCTGTCAAGTCCAAAATGTGATAAAAGTATGCCTTAAGATAATAAGTATGACAACAGCGACCAAGTAATCCTTCCTAATCGAAAACGCATTTGAGAATTTCAGCCAACATTTCATGAGATAGGTAACGCACCGTATGTTTATGGGTTAGAGTACGGGTTAGTGTTAAACTCTCTATTACACCCGCTCCCGTATGACAGGTGGCGGGGGCTAGTCTGCTGCAGGTGCGGCTATGAAATAGAATTCGAACGAAGCAACTATTTGAAACGTCAGATCTTTCATAAACCTCTCCTAGCGAACGCCTACGCACCTTGTCATATACCACATGGGAATGACATTTTTAATACTATAGGTATGTATTTACATCTTGTCAACGTTCGGACTGACAAGCTTAATCTTCCTTTGGAATACGGCGTGACGTCTGCCCTCCACACTTACCTCAACCTGGACTGCTGACCCACTCCAAGCGAGACGAACCTGGTTACATCGGATTATTCCGCCAACTTACTCACCATGCTGTAGTTGCTGTGCTTTTGAGTCATGCTGCCGACTTCAATCCAATTTTATAACGGCATTTCGTTAGAATTAAAACATAAAACCCATCCATGTCAACAACACTCAACCTGTCCTAATGCGTTCAAAACATCTTTCAACAATTTATACGAAGGATATTATAAGAAGAACGATTGTCCAGTTGTCATTTCTATTGAGGACAGATGAAAGCTTTGAATTACGCCTCCAATGAGACGGCTATTTAGTTGTTGTTTAAGAGCACACCCAAAATCGGGAATATTGTAAGAAACAGGCTGCATTTGAAGTTTTGCAATGAGCCTGATGTTTTGTACATGTTGGGCCATTTGAGAAAATGTGTGGGATACATCAAGGGGAGTGCGGCGTGGAAGGCCACAAATTTGTAGGTTTCTTTTTTCCCAACGTTATCTGTCAGAGAAAAGACTAGGTTCTCCGTCTCCATACGTCCTGTTACTCTCATGATCTTATAGTTCACACCGTCGGCTTGCTCTTAAATGGAAAGTGAAATTAATCATCTCCGTCAAATCTAGAGCATCGCAACGTAGATCGCAACTTACCAAAGGGGATAATTATTTTCAGCCCCTTTCTGCTTGAAGACGACCCATATCTGCTAATATTTCCCAGCAGCCTGATCTCCTTGAAAAAAGATAATTGGTTCATTTAAAATTTTGCGCTTCAATCATGATCTTGACAGATGAATAACTAAGTCAAATGTAAACGTCAAAAAATATTTCAGCATAATTGAAATGAGTGTGGTCTTTTGGTACCTTTATATTTTCATCCATGACAACAGCAAGTGGTCTCGCATGGCCCCGTTGTGCGACAATGGGTATTATGTAATGGACACCGCGGATCTCTGACAAAATAAGAGAAATGTGATTCGTGAAATTGAAATTATATATGTTTGGTGTAGATGTCCCTGTTGTTTGGTTTTATCAGCGAGCTTCAGATTTCACGAATTATTTTAAAATTTGGACTATGTACCTGGAAAGAAATCCGTTTTGTTCACTACGACGATCGCGATTTTTGCCTTTTGGGGATTTTCGGGTGTGAGAATAAGCGCAGAGTAGCTTTCGTAAGTTCCGTGATTGATCAGAAAACTTCTTCTTCCTTTGTCAGAAAATGGTACAGCAGTTATATTTCCCAAATATTAGAAGTCACAATTTGGAGAGCACCATAAGTGATCCTAGCATCGATCAGAAAGCGACCGCATTTAATTGCCTTTGTCTCGTGGGTGTGTGTCTGTTTGTGTTTGCGAATTTGAAGGCACATAATGTAAAAGGCTCAACAACTCACTTGAATAGAATTCTACACATTTAGTCGGAGGTTCGCAGGGATGCGTTGGTGTTCGATGCGCAAATCCTGATTCCGAAGAATTGAACTGTAAGGAGAAAACCACATGAATATTTCGAATTTCCAGTTTTTATTAAAACACATTTCGACATTTTACATACCCGGAAGGATGCTGGAACTTCGTAAGCAAGGTCGATGTCGGTATGTGGCTTTACATGTAGCCTGAATCCAACTGCAAATGAGGAGGGAATTGTCAGAAATTGTCGACTTACAGCAGCTACAGAAGTGGACATTAAGCAAGATCAGGGCAATAGTCGCATTCACGAGCATCACTGAATTACGGATGATGCAGGCCATGTGCGGTAGTTGGGATGGAAATAACTGTTTCTGCCTCATTTAGCGGACCTATGAATTTATTTACGCCATGCTAATGAAGGGTCCAGTTCACTATCCAACAGGTGACCTCGCCCTTGAGGATCAGACTGTTTTCATTGGGAGTTATGTTTTTGTATTGTACATTATTTTGACAGTTGTTTTGATCGCGTTTTTGCCTGTGCAGGCGTCGACATTGCACCACACAATGCAATCAGTCATTTACCTGGGTCGCTGCCTCGCGCACAGACACAGGAGAACTTTTGACCGTGTTTTGTTAAGAAACACTTGACGCTAGCTTATGCGCCTTCATCTTGGTTCTGAATGTTTTTGGAAACTCACTGATGAGAGATACCATGTCACATGCTTTGTAGAATTATCCCGCAGTTGGGATTCTTGGCTGTTTTTACAGGTCTGGAGTCCCACTTTTGCAAAGCGTTTCGATTTTGCCTTGGGTTTTTGGTATGCTTATTTTGACAAGGTTTTTAGTGCTTGCGTTAGGGGCTTATGGCCTTGGGTCAAGGTTGCGGTGACATTCAAGCTTTCCTTAAATGCTTTCGGGCTAACGCTTCGGGTTACCTATTACAGTCATGATCATGTTTGACATTAGGATCGTAGTTAAACAAGGTTTTCCGAGGGGTTTACTTACTATATCCTTACCGGCAGATGCAGTATTAAATGCTCTGCAATACAAATGCACTCAAGAAAAGCAGCGAGGACGAAAACGCGAAAATGTCCGATTAGCGAGTAGAGTTAATTCTCAGAAATACACTATGCCTGCTTTGGAGATTTGATTTATATAGCGAATTTTTGCTTCTTATGTTATTACCTATTAATTCATGTAAAACATAAACGGTCATAAAACATGTATCAAGTCATAAGCATACCTGAGTGACACTCGCTACGGTAGGATGGTAGATGGTAGCCCTGCCCACTCATTCTACAATTGCATTTACTGGCTAGATTTCAAGCTCTGTGATTACGCTCTTATTATGTCTGGGAGTGCACGCGCAGAAGCCCTGTCAGGATGAATTTCCTCTTCACTCTATCCGCCCCGAGAACGAGGCACTGCAGAAATGTCTCTATAGACTCACTGTATTGCACCCCCACACGGAAATCTTTAGTAAAGGGCGAAAGATTTTTCCTAGACATATTATGATTCATCATGCTTCTCATTATGCTTGTAATTGCATGCGCGCACTGTGTTATCTGTATCTGATTCATTTTAGAGGTACTATCCTAGGCTGCATACCACAGTACCCAGATGTTATCTGAAGGCATAACCATCCGTGGGCTGTCGCAGTATTTCGACATCTACATAAGACCCTACAGGTCAGTAGTCCTTTTTGTTAGAGATACTGCACTAGTTAGGACGAATGGATTATTTCCAGGATCCGCGAATAATCCGTCGGCCTATCCACTTGCGGTCCTGCTTTCCTTCGCCTTCTATAAGACTGGGCTCTTCAAGCAGAACAAAGTATAACTTCATATACAGAGTGCAAATTCGTCTTTACATTGTAAAGTACACCATTCACGTATAGCAAACAACTACTGCAATAGTTTTAATCCTAGATGTGGCCACAGTGACAATACACTATTATTTGCAGATTTGCTCTTTCGCCCAAACATATTTTTCGCATTAATGTCTTACCCCGCTTGCATTGTGGCGTCCTGCGTGCCGCTACTTGACTCTCGTGTTCTCATGTCTATTCTGTCGGTTAGAGTACTATCACACATACTGCGGAATGACCTTAAGACACACTGCGTTCTTCCTATTGGTTGTTCGCCTTCGCTTGCTATTCTTTCCAATCTGGGGCAAGGATGCATTTATTCCGCATACCGTACTAATTATCCATGCTTATTTATATATCCTCCTTTCATTTTTCACCTTATTTAAGTTAGGCTTCGACTTTACCAGGAGCGTCAATTCCAGGCATACACTACAAGCGCCATTTACGCCTCCACTCATTTTCCCCACCCGTATAGCCCCTATTACCACCGGTCCCGTAAAACAGGTAGTTGGGTTTTTTCGGTAACGTGAGGGCTACCAACTACCATCTAACCCCCGCTACCTTTAGATAATTACGTGCCGAGTGACATATATTATATAGACAAACAGGACCGCACGTTCTACAATCCCAAACTTCGATAATGCAGCCTATATTTTCTAAAAGTCCCAGTCTAGTCATAAAAATATAATGACTGAGAAGTTAAACGCATTACATTTATTGTCAACTGATATACTTCGTATTAGGAAACTCTGGCGTGGACGCAATATGCTACCTCAAATGCGACCATATTTACAATTGCCTACTGATTAGTTGAAAGTAGGGGTGTGAAGCTTCGTTTGTTGTGTTCGGTACTGCTCCAGTCTGCCTGGGTCTGAGCCTCTACTCCTCTCCTGACAGCGAAGGTTTCGAATCAATTTAAATGACATCTTTCGTTGTAAGTGGTCTTAAAATTGAGGTCCATCGGTCATTTGCGCGGGTTCCTTGTCGATAACTTCTACATCCTCACACGGTTTAGTTTTCGCAACGCATTAAATAGGCTTGCTAGAACAAACCCTAACTTAGCTGACCTGGTACATTCCCATAAACCTTTTCCGATCTTTACACTTATGATTTGTGAATAGCAGAAATACCATTTAAATTCGTATGGATAGAGTCCTAGATTTTCCTTGCCCTCAACATTTAGACAGTTATTACATCGACACATATCGGTAGAAGACTACAACTTGCAGAAAACTCCAGTAACTTTTTAAGTCTCTACATTTTGCTATATTCACCAGGCTAGGAGGACGTGAACTTAGTGAATCATTCGCGTTGCTCAGCGTAATGACTGAAGAAAAAGTAGGATTAGTAGGCCAAAACACTGAATATAAAGGAGAAGCAAATGCGACTGCATCACTGCGTTGGCAGGATTTTTCCTTGAGCGCGCGTGTACGTGTTACAGTCCGTTGTAACTATGAACTTTCGTTTGGTAAGCCGAGTCATCAACTTGGGACTTGCGCGGAACGTGGTTGGCGAAATATTACTGTGGCTTATTATGTACAGTTCAAGTCATCCGAATCAGGATTTGTGCATCGAACAGGAGGACATCCCTGCGAACCTCCGACTAAATGCGTAGAATTCTAGCCAAGTGAGTTGTTGAGTCTTTTACAATTTGTCACTTCAAATTCACAAACACAAACACACCCACGAAACAAAGGACATTAAATGCGGGTTTTTTTCGAATCGATGGTCAGATCACTTATGGTAGTCTGCATATAGTGATATCAAATATTAAAGATAGCTAATTCGTGAATTCTTTTTTTTTCGGAAAAACGGAAGAAGAAGTTTTCTGAACAAAGATTGAACTTACCAAAATTACTCTATGGTTATTCTCACACCCGAAAATCCCGAAAAGGCAAAAATTGCGATCGTCGTAGTGAACGAAGGGGAATTCGTCCCAGGTATATATTCAAAATGCCCCACTTTATATAAAGTTGTGATATCTGATAATCGTTAATGAAACCAAACAGCAAGAAAATCTTCCTCAAATATATGTCATTTCAATTCCACAACTCAGATTTTTCTTATGTTATCAGAGATCCCTCATGTCCATTACGTAAAAATCCATTGTCTCACACCCGGCCTATTCGAGACCAATTTCTGTGGTCATGGATGAAAATATAAAGGTACCAAAAGACCACACTCATTTCATTTATACTGTTATTTTTCTGTAAATTTACATTTACATTTACAATCAAAATCCCGATTGAGATACGAAGTTTTAAATGAGCCAAATTTCCCATTTCAAGGAGATCAGGCTACTGGGAAATATCAGCAGATATGGGTCGTCATCAGCCAGGAAGGGACTGAAAATAATTATTCCCTATGGTAAGTTGCACTTCACGTTACTATGCTCAAGATCTGGCGGAGATGGCTTATTTCATTTTCCATTTAAGAACAAGTCGACGGTGACGACTATAAAATCATGCGGGTAACGGGACGTGTGAAGACTGAGAACCTAGTCTTTTCTCTGACATATGACGCTGGGAAAAAAGGAACGTACCAATTTCTGGCCTACGACAGCGCACCCATCTTGATGTACCCCACACATTTTCTCGAGCGGCCCAAACTTAACTAAACATCCGGCTCATTGCAACGGTGTAAATGTAGCTTGTGCCTTACAATATTTACGACCATGTGTGTGCTGTCTCATTGCATACCCAATTCAAAGCTTAAATCTGCCTTCAATATAAATAAAAACTGGACAAATTTTATTCTTTTATCCTTCACCTTCCTAATTCAAAGATGTTTTGAACGCATCTGGATCTCTTCTCGCAAGCTCAGACAAAGGAATGCGCCAGGTTACTGGTGAGTTGACTATGTTCTGCAAAAGATTCACCGTCTCTAAAACAGGTGCCCCGTTAATGCCATCGTCCACGATAGGCAGCCTACTCAAGGCGTCAGCCACTACGTTTGCACTACCTGTAATGTACTTCATTGCATACGTGTAAGTAGACAAATTGAGTGCCCATCGTTGCATTCTCGGCGAGGACATCTGTTGTATCCCTCGTTTTTCTCCCAGCAAACCTAAGAGGGGTTTGTGATCGGTGTGAATCTCAAAGGGTCGGCCAAAAGATACAGGTGGAAGCGATGGAGGCCAAACATTATTGCTAAGGCCTCTTTATCTAGTTGCGAATAGTTGGTTTCCGCCTGTTACATAGTTTTTGATGCAAAGACAATCGGCATCTCCACACCAGAAGGCATTTGATGCATGACAACCGAACCTACGCCTTTCGGAGACGCATCACATTTAAGTATGGTAGGCTTTTCGGGTTCATAGGGAACTAGGACAGATGAGGACGTAAGAGCCGCCTTTGCTCGTTCAAAAGCACTTTGTTCGACCTCCGACCAGTGCCAGCAACGATTCCATTCAAGTAGTCGATGAAGAGGCTCTAGAATTTTAGTCGATTGCTTCATAAAGCGACTAAAGTGGGTGACTAACCCCAGGAATGAACGCAATTGACTAGTAGTGTTGGGGCGCAGCGCCGTCTTCAAGGCTTTGAGCTTATGTTCGAGTTAATGGAGGACAGTTTTATCCACCCTGAAGCCCAGGTATTCTACCGAGTCGGCAAGGAATGAGCACTTACCTTTCCTGAGTTTAAAACCTGCGTCGCCTAAACCTCCCAACACAATGTTTACAGTCTCTAGATGACTAACTTCAGATGGGGCGGTGACTAATTTATCGTCACGATATGCGTAAACGTGAGGTATATCCTTCACGAGGTTATCAATCAAGCATCGAAATAAACCGGGAGCCGAACTTACACCAAATGGTAGTCTTTTACATCGAAATAAACCCCGATGCGTATTGATGGTGGTGGCGTCTCGAGATTCGGTATCTAGGACGACTTGGTTGGAGGCATGCTTTAGGTCCAAAGTTGAAATCTGATGACCACCCGAGAGAGATGCGTACAGATCCTCGATGCGCGGGAGAGGATAAGGGTTCAGTTTAGTTGCTGAGTTGATTGTCAGCTTGTAGTTGCCACAGATACGCACAAAACCATCGGTTTTAAGAACAGGAACTATTGGGACTGCCCATTCCGAATATTGCACGGGCTCAATAATATCCGCTTTCTGTAGGCGATCCAGTTCTTCTTCGACCTTCGGTGCGACTGCATAGGGGGCATGTACGAGCTTTGAAGAACCGGGGCCGGAAATCTGACTGAAACTGGATTTTAACAGGTGGACCGCGGTAGCAGGTAGCAGAATCGTCATAAAATAGATCCTTATAATTTACCAAAATTGAATCCAAAGCCGGATTTACACCAATCCGATGTACATAGGATAGCACAGAAGGCACGCATTTAATCCAATTCCGTCCAAGGAGATTTGGTTGCTGTCTTCCTCTCACCACATGAACCGTCAAGTAATGAAGTTCTCCATCATGCTTGACTTCGGCTGTAAAGACCCCTCGAACCTCTGCGTTCTGTCCAGTGTAACTGCGGAATCTTGGGCTGACCGGAAGGAGGGAAGCTAATTTCTGAAGGCAGGCCTCATTTATGAGAGTAACAGCTGAGCCAGTGTCGATTTCAAACTTCACGGGATGGTGATCAACCGGAAGCTTGATGGTGTAGGGCGATCGGAGTGGCGCGTTGGCAGAACACATTCGGAGTATCGCCTCGCCATCCCCAGCTGGATTAGGGTAGGTTGCATGCGTGTTAGTATTCGCTCGTCTTTTGGAGAAACACACCTGTTCGATGTGGCCGACTTTCTTGCAAAACTGGCATACCGTCTTCTGGTGTCTACAGTCTGACCACCGGATATGATGCTGGCCACAACGGTAGCAGGATGGTAGTTGTTTTGAGGGAGCTGACGGTCGCTGTCTAGGTGAAGACACAGCAGTGTTGACTAGGGAGACAGCCATTTCCGATTCCAAGGATGCTATCACTCCATCGTTTGAGTGATTCAGCTGCTGAAGGTTTTGCCGCACGCGCTCCTGATGACTGGCGATATCACAGGCTTTCTCCTATGAGAAATCCTTTTTCTCTGATAAGCAATTTTCCCGAGCTTTTTCATCGCGCAGACCGACTATGAACTGCTGAACGAGCATTGCGTGCTCGAACTTGTCTGCCTTGATCTCTTTATACCCACAGTCCTGGATGGCGAGAGTCAAATTAGTAATAAAATCACTGATATATTGATTGGATTCTTGACGCATTTGACAAAACCGATAGCGACTGAGAAAGACGTTGTCTTTTCCTCCCCACGCTGACTCGAGTTTTGCGAAGGCTGTATGGAGATCTACAGCCTGTTGTAGATTGAGGGCATCGAAATATCGTTGTCCCAACTCTCCGATATTCGTCCGGAGGTGTTTCAACTTAGATGAGACGTCTAGTACAATCGTGGGTGACACAATCGGAAGCCGTTCAATATAATCCTCAAATGTCTTCCTCCATTGCAACCACGAGTCATTTGAGGGCTTCTGGGTGTTCTTTGGCCAGAAAGGTAACGGTGTAGGCAGCAATGAAGACATGTTCGTTAGGCTGCGTCGCCAATGTTATGCATGCAATACAGAAGGGTATTTGGAAATAGGACATGTACTGAGTACGATAGACAGCACAAGTGAGGAGGCTTGTGAGAACGGTCGGGTATATGGCAAGGGGGACTGTCATTAATTAATGGGTGGCCAATCAGCACAAAGGTGTGAACAGGGGGTCATGACCTTGATCATTCGCTTATCACTCGTTTGTGGCATGATGTCCTAACGGCCCGAGCCGGATAAGCTGCACGGCTAAATCTGTTTATTAAAACTCTCGAGGGTAAATTACTATCTTTTCAATGAAAATGTCTCTCAGATGCGTAACTGGAGTCTAGGGCATGTATTAGCATAGGAAATTGGACGAATATATTATAACGTCTATTGCTGGTAAAATTCAATGATATTTCACTTGATATAATTACGCAAACACAATTTCTGAACAAGAAAAGGACAGCTTGTTGAAGACTGTGAATGAGCGAACAAAATGCGCCACGTAAAAGGCGTCCAAAATTATCTTATCAGTTTCCGTTATCAGATTTCATGAGATAGCTCACGTACTGTACAAGTGAGTTACCTTACCTGTGTAAGACATTGCGGGGTATCTGGATTGCATAGCTAACCGTCAGCCACCGGATAAACGTCTGCTACGTGCTTGAGGAAGGATTCCCAGGCGTCCGGCAGGTTGCCGGATTTAGGACCAAACCACAACCTGTACCAGTCTTCGTCTGGGTCGGCCCATGTGTTTCTTCCCCGTTTGGGACCTTTCTCTCGCAGCTTTCGCTTTTATCTACCCCAGAATCGCTCGTATCTGCATCTGTCGCCGATGATGCCATCGAGTAGGAATCCGAACCGTCGGGATAATAAAGCTCTTGTCCCAACGATCGAGTCTCCTTCTTTAAAACATTGTATCATTTGTTTTTCGCCTTGTCGGGGTTCGTCAAAATAGGGTTAAGATGATGATGATGGTAGCTAATTTGGCTCACCGAAGAACTGGGGGAGTTGTCGACTATCGCTGATGTCCTATAGCAGACAGGACAGTTGTCCGACGACGCCATTGCGGATGGCATCGGGTCGCTCTGCCAGCGTCCACGCCCGCCAATCCTCCTACTTTAGAGAAGCCGGTATCATTAAAACCGAAATGTCCCTCTTGTGATATACCTTATCTCCAGCGGTTGATTGCTTTTTCAATTACCTAAAAGTGAACGAACATTACGGGCGGCTAGAGTGACCAGAGTTACTCTACAAAGGTTGTAGGGGAAGAGTGGTCAAATAGGGATGCTGTGAATCGTGCAGTTTCGGTCGTGAATCCCGCAACTACGAGCCACCGTCAGTGCGCAGATAACGTAATCTGAGCATTTGTTAGACTTTTCTAGCGAGCATTGCTGCCTTTAATTGTGCAGCTTACACATCCCTGACGGCTGCCGGAATCCACCAAAGGGCACGGCTTTGCTCAGTGGGAGATCAACCCTGGGCCACCTAAGAGACTGCATGTCGCCCTCTTTGTAGGAAGTTTCCCAGTGAAGGAGAGGACGAGGGATTGGAACGGGAACAGTGTTGCCGTTTTTTAGATAACACTGAATACCCTAATCCGGTCCAAACAGCTGGCCGTGGGATGTGGCCGCTAGGTGGAGCCTAGACTTGAGAGCCACCGATGGGAGTCTGTTGAACATTACGGACCGCAGTTTGTAGTCACGGTATGCATGGTGAAAATGATGCAATCTACCGTACATCCACGGTAAACCACCTAAACAAGAGGCCCGGCAACATCCATATTTAACAGACCTATAAGCCCGGTACGTCCTAAAGCACCCAGAAGATGTTACTGTTTTTGGACGTACCTAACATATCCCCTTACATCTCTTTCTGCTGCGCTCATGTTCTATCTAGCTGACGTCAACCACAATCGGACGGAACTTGCCTATACGCGTCTATCTAGGAGTGCGTAGCTGAGGAAGTCGATTCTCCCTACCCCATAGTGAACAGGACTGAGTGCCCAAAAGTCATGGGTCATGTCGAACCAACTTTTGTCTGAGACTGTCGCCGACTCCGGTTAAGCAGCAACGTTAAATTTTGGACAGCAACCCCGACATCGTATATATGGTTGGAAAGCCAACAAAACCTGTGTTTAAACCATCTCATCGGCCTTTTCTACGCAGTATAAGGTATTTCAGCGACGTTCTCACAACGAGCGCATACTGTCTCACTTGATGCACAGTCCGTTCGATTTAACCGCAGGGTCGGTCTGCAGAGACAATAATTGGAGACGTAAAGTTTCGCTGATGTTTAGGGCATTGCCGAATATTCTCGGCAGCAGCACCATCTCTATAGTAACAACATGCCTTACTTAAGAAAATACCCAAGTGTATGGTTAGTGACCTGGGGTTACTTACGCTGAGAAGCACTCATGATGAGAAAAAAAGCTGAACATCTAAGAACTTCGTGGTATCCGCCGTATTGTTACCTGCAAAACGTTAACACTACATTTGCCACATAATGATAGTAGTTAGTGAATATAATGCCTCTTTGCGTAAAATGCTAAAAAAGCATTGCATTGTCAATGACTACCCTAAATCAGCTGGACACCCTCACTCAACACCAACCGCGCATACAAAAATAAGTATTGCCAACTATTTCCTTTTAGACTAATTGTTCCACTAATTAAGTAATCCTGGTCATAAGTCATACCCATGGAAGGAAATCAACAGGATTTTCTGCTACGACTGCAACCTATATGACATCTGGCACATTCACGTTGACCGCATTGGGCAAATTTAGTACGGTGTCAGACAGAGTCCCCTGGTTATCTTAGCAGACGTTTCTTGACAAGCCCTGTTTACACAATCAAACCCCGCATGCACATTTCGAAAACTCGGTTTGATATTCTGCCCAGTGCCGATGACTCAATTGGTAAATGGAGGTCTTTTTAATATCGATGACACAGTATGTTAGCGGCTACGTCCTTATGTAAGCTATATTTAATTCGGTCAACTATTGATGTGGTGGACGATTTATTCGAGTAAGTAAATATTGAGTTTCAGCAGCCGTTTATTAAAGACAATCTTGTTTTTCTGGAGTTAATAGGTGAAGTGTTGTGCTTATCTTCGAAATGTTATCGAAAATTAGGCAAAAGGAACCCTCCTCTATTTTAGAAAGTCAAATAGTATATAAGATGTTGAATCCGAAGTAGATTATAGATTTCATCCAGCGTCCCACAAAGACTGATTTTCTGGTGAAGCAGCATTTTTAGATAGAAAACAAAAGAGTCAATTAACAACCAGAAAACAGATAAGTCATTTAGAAATTCTTAATAATTCTGGACATATAAACGCACGTTTTCGATTGCTTAACATCAGGCCGGTAAAATAATATAAGTGAGGACAACGTAGCAAAAAATAACAACAAATAAAAGTCAGAATGAGAGAGAAGGTTGTGGAAGGTTCGGAGGCCAGGCGTCAGAGTTTATTTCACTCAGGGGGTTGGGGGTAGGGGGAAGAATGTATAGGTGTCTGGCAATTAGTTATTCCCGTTTTATCGCTGTAACGCGAAATGGTCTGTGTGAACACAAATGCTGGGTCTTGTCTTTGACCACGGGAGCCTTAGCGCTTGTACAAATAATTTATGCGAGTACTATGTCGGGTTGGTTAACCGTGTGTCCGCTGTCTCTGCCGTCTCAAGTATCCACTGATGCAGGAACTTGGGGCACCTCGCGGGTACTTCATAGATGACTCGCAATGCTTACTTAACGTCTAGGCGATGGCCACTGCCAAACAAGTAAGCCACAGCCGTGGTACAGATGGACTTTTCCACACCTTGATTTAGCCAAGCAGGATGGTGCTCTCGTATTCGCATGGATGGACGTCTAGTTGTTCAATTAATTTAAGCTGCCCCACTGGAGCAAGTGAAGGCGTGAATGCACATGGAGCAGGTCTGAGAAAGCAATCAATTTCTACCTTCTATTCGAAGAAGGGGAGTGTTTGTAAAAAATTGACTTATCTTAATAGCTGCGTACGTGCGTGCGGCATCAGCGTTCAAACGATGAAGCAGAAGTTCGCTCCTCTGACCTCCTCGAATTGCCAGTGTTAGAAATCTACGCATCTGCCAACGTTGACCCTTACCACAAACCTAATACCAAATCCTAAATCAAACCCTTCACCCTAACCCAAATCATAACCTTAACATTATTCCTCATTCTGACATAAACCCTAACCACCATCTAAACATTTAACGTAAATCTAAACGGCAATCCAAAAACCTAACTTTAACCGGACCCCTTAAATTTAACAAAAACGCAAACCTTCAACTCAGTTCTCAGCTTGATACTAACCCAACCTTAAAGCCAGCCCTACCCCTTAACCGAAACATCAGGCTGTCTCTATCCGCTTGAGCCTCGACTACTTTCTCACGTACGAATTCAACAACCTCATTCGGATTACTTCAGTTGCAATGTCCACATTGCGCTAACACTTAGTGCTTCTGGTTTGTCAAAGCATTTCATTTACATGTTTAGGCCTGCAGTTCGGGCTGTATCCAACGTGAAAGTTTGTTTTTCAAGGAAAACTTCACTGTTGATGATGGAATAGAAGCTTGGAAGAAAGTACATTTTTAAAACTCATGCAGTTATCTTGGTACCGCCATTTTTTATTTTACTTCGACATAGTTTAATTAAACCAGCGAGAAACTTAATCACACACATCCATATCAGACTGTAGATTTAGTGGGCACAATTTCATTGATGACCAAATTACATACGAAGTTGAGAGTCTCCAACTTTTCGCTCTTCTCTGTGTTTTGACTCCGCGCTTGTGTTAATTGTAATTTTTGCCAAATTGCTTTTTGGGAAGCATGGTGAACAATCAAGCATGAAAAGAGCATTTCATCCCAATCAGAATATTTTGCAATGGTGAACCACCTTATTCATTCCGCGAGCAATAATTCTAGGGATGGAAGAGGCCATTAACAAGCAATAAATGGAAGTTGAGTTACGGAGGCAATAAAGACTGCAACGGCAGCCATTCAAAACTAAGTCAAGCCCTAGTCAGTCGGCCGTTCATGAACAGAGTGTAGATTTAGTGCGCACAATTTCATTGATGACCAAATCACAAATGCAATCAACTCCTGCCCAGATAGCGGTTTGCAAAATGACCGTCTGTTTTAGGTTATAAATATACACAATGTAGTTTTGCATCTCTAATACACCACAAGATGTCATAAACAAAGTTTGCCTCAAAATTCATCAGTTCCTTTGTGTAAAGTAGGCAGTTCTGTCTAGCCGGCTACTTATAAGAGTGCAATTCCTGGCTATGTGAGCTTCTATGCAAATTTGTTGTTTTCTCCTTCACTACTCCGTGTCGGCTTTCGGAGGACAAAGACTAAGGGTACCATATCCTGATGGAGCAGTTATTTTAACTCCCCTAGACTCTGTTTGGCATCCAGCTTGGCGCCTGAGAGCTGCTAAGGCGGGTATTTAGGCATGACTGAGAAGAAGGTAAGGGGCGGGCGTGAACCGCTGAGCGAGGGAAGTTAGTGCACATATGTATGACAGTAAGTGAGCTGAATTTCTCATTGGTCGTGACTGTACCTTCAAGGGCAGCAGCCTTGTTAACAGGCGAATGATGTCAGGCGCATGAAGTGTAGTCACGGGCACACAGCAGAATCGATGCACGTATGCGCGCGGCGTGGTACAGATCCTACTTTTAGGCAGTACTGCGTAGGTTGTACACGCGTCTATGCCAGTGACATCTCCACCTACTCCGGCATCGCAATACCACTAGCAACTAGTGAGATCCCAAAATGAACGATGCGCCACCCCAAAGAACTCACAATAGACAACGCGCCGAGGACAGCCCGTATTCTGAGACCAAAAGAAACACCAGAAGCATGCAGTTTACAAAGGCATCTTGAATGATGCAATTAAGAGATCTCTGCGCGTTGCAAAGCCGTCGATCCCCCTTCATTTAGCCTATCAGCGCGGCAAGACGCGAAGTCATTGTTTCTTAGGAATTGGAGGTAGTTGAGTTACTACGCTATGCGCGCAAAACCACTAAACTTCGTCTGCGCACCTGGAAGAAAACTCGGGGCAAGCATGCTGTTTGCGGCCCCACTGAGAAAATTGATTTCAATGACTCCCCTGATACGGAGGTGGTAGTAAGGTAGGGGCTTTGGGGATGACGGGAGCGGAAACAGCGTCCGCAAATGGCATTCACGCCATTATCTCTTTCGAGTAGTCCAAGCGGAAGTTAAGGTTAAAACGCACAATTAGGTAAGTATATGCGCCAAGGCCAGTAAAATAGTGCGAAGAATGGACCTGGTATGCGCTGTTTAAGTAGCGAAAATAAACGGATCGTTGCAGACACTGGACAATTAGACAGGGGCAAGATGTGCGAACGATACATCCAAAGTAGGATTGTCGAAGTTGAGAACGCCCAAATTCAAAGATGTTCAGATGTTCTCTAATTAAATGTGAACAAGGATTGCGTGCGATAGATACTGCAATGGAGGCAAATTTTCTATTAATGGCAAAACCAAAGTCCTACGTCATCACAACCGTAGAGCTCAGGACCAAACAACCACACCGAACTTAAGAAGACAGCACGGAGATAGCCCGACGCTGACCTTACTCGGTGAGGAAGAACAAGAACCGCCAGACCGACCGCCCGACTAAAGTCCAATCAGCTCCCCTCGACGGAGTGGTGACTCATAAAGCGCACAGGCAAAAAAGCCCGTCAACCATTTCCTGAGAGGCCGACGCAGCGTGAGAAGAGAGAAAAATCGATCAGCATGAGGCCGGCCAACACAGCTTGCCACCTTAAATTAACTTTCTGATCGATCAGCATGAGGCCGGCCAACACAGCTTGCCACATTAAATTAACTTTCTGATCGACCCAGCTCTTTGAAACGTCAGCAGTTAAATAAACCTGTACCGGAGAGCCAATTTTCTTCTTCTAAAACCAAATATGATAGAAATCAAAAGTATATTATAGCAAGCCAACGGAAAACACCTACGTAGTCGAAACCGACCAACCGTAGGCCAACAGGACTGCAGGTCGAGGCATCCACGGCAATGAAGGAAGTAAGGTGGCAATAAGCTCGCCCCCAAAGTGCTATCTACTAAAATTGAAGTCAGCCTGCCACTTCGGACTTGAGTTAAATCAGCAGATACCATTATAGCGCATGGATGATTACGTATTTAGATAGCTTTACCTACTAATCATTGCCCCGGCTCCACAACGTTGTTTGCATTATTAGCCACATGCGAAGAGCAGTGGAATATATGCATGTGCCAAAGTGACGGGAGTCGTTCACTTGGGGGGGGGTTTATTATAGTCATGGGCACATATATCATAATATGACTTACTTTATTTTATGCGTGGTTTGCTAATGTCGCCCGTGTGGCTGCATCCGACCCGCATATCACCGTGACCTAAATCTTCCCCATTCTCATCGGCCGCAAAGATAAGTGACGACTCTGATTGTCCCTCGCCGTGACTGTCCTCGACAAGAAGCCTCGTCAAAACATATAGAGGGGAGGCAACTTTAGTGGCGGTTGACAAGGCAGTCGATGGACATCCAGGCTTTTTGCACCATCCTTGCCGGATGACTGTCGCCCCAAGTCTACAATCTCAACGGCCTCAAAGTACCATTTGCCCGGCATGGGTTGCTACATCCGAATTTGGGTCCGACCCTCGCATGCTCGTGCATTCGCGTTTGCAGCGCACGAATTTACAGTCTCTGAAGATGGGTATATTAAGTAATGGCATGATCATATTTCGTTGGCGCACCTGCTAGGGGGTTAGAGTTATGGTTAAGGGTAAGTGTTTGGTGCTAAGTTTTAGATGTTAGGGTCAAGATTAAAAGTTATGTTTTTGGGTTAGGGGTTAGAGTATGGGTTAGTGTTAAACTCTCTATAACCCCCGCTCCCGTATGATAGGTGGCGGGGGCTTGTCTACTGCAGCTGCGGATATCAAATAAAATCCGACCGAAGTAACTATTCAAAACGTCAGACCTTTCATAAAGGTCTCCCAGCGAACGCCTCCGCACCTTGTCATATACCACATGGGGATTACATTTTTAATACTATAGGTATGTATTTACATCTTGTCAACGTTCGGACTGACATGCTTAATCTTCCTTTGGAATACGGCGTGACGTCTGCCCTCCACAATTACCTCAAACTGGACTGCTGACTCACTCCAAGCGTGACGAACATGGTTACATCGGATTATTCCGCCAACTGAATCACCATCCACTAGTTGCTAGGCTTATCAGTCATGCTGCCGACTTCAATCCAATCTTATAACGGCATTCTGGTCGAATTAAAAGCTCAAATTCATTCATGTAAATAACAATCAACCTGCCCGCATGCCTTCAAAAAATCTTTCAATAATTAATGCGAACGGTAGAAGAATAAAGATTGGCCAGTTGTAATTTCTATTAAGGAATGATGAAAGCTTTGAATTACGTCTCCAATGAGACGGCTATTTAGTGGTTGTTTAAGAGCACAGCCATAATAAGAAATATTGTAAGAAACAGGCTGCATTTAAAGTTTTGCAATGAGCCTGATGTTTTGTACATGTTGGGCCATTTGAGGAAATGTGTGGGATACATCAAGATGGGTGCGCCCTCGGAGACCAGAAAGTGGTAGGTTTTTTTGTTCCCAGCGTCATCTTTCAGAGAAAAGGCTAGGTTCTCTGTCTCCGCACGTCCTGTTACTCGCATGATTTTATAGTTCTTACCGTCGACTTGTTCTTAAATGGAAAGTGAAATTAATCATCTCCGTCGGATCTTGAGCATTGCAACGTAGAGCGCAACTTACCATAGGGAATAATTATTTTCAGCCCCTTCGTGCTTGAAGACGACCCATATCTGCTAATATTTCCCAGCAGCCTGATCTCCTTGAAAAAAGATAATTGGTTCATTTAACATTTTGCACTTCAATCATGATCTTGACAGATGAATAACTAAGTCAAATGTAAATCTCAAAAATATTTCAGCATAATTGAAATAAGTGTGGTCTTTTGGTACCTTTATATTTTCATCCATGACAACAGCAAGTGGTCTCGCATAGCCCGGTTGTGCGACAATGGGTTTTATGTAATGGACACCGCGGATCTCTGACAAGATAAGAGAAATGTGATTTGTGAAATTGAAATTACATATGTTTGGGGTAGATGCCCTCGTTGTTTGGTTTTATTAACGAACGTCAGATTTTACGAATTATTTTAAAATTTGGACTATATACCTGGGAAGAAGTCCCTTGAGTTCACTACGACGATCGCAATTTTTGCCTTTTCAGGATTTTCGGGTGTTAGAATAACCGCAGAGTAGTTTTCGTATGTTCCGTCATTGATCAGAAAACTTCTTCTTCCTTTTTCAGAAAAAAACATTTCACCAATTACCTATATCTTATATTAGAAAGCACTATTTGTAGAGTACCATAAGTGATCTGAGCATCGATCAGAAAGCGACCGCATTTAATTGCATTTGTGTCGTGGATGTGTCAGTTTGTGTTTGCGAATTTGAAGGGACAAAATGTAAAAGGCTCAACAACTCACTTGGATAGAATTCTACACATTTAGTCGAAGGTTCGCAGGGATGCCTTGCCGTTCCATGCACAAATCCTGATTCCGAAGAATTGAACTGTAAGGAGAAAACCACATGAATATTTCGAATTTACAGTTTCCAATAAAGCAAATTTCGACATTTTACATACCCGAGAGGATGCTGGCACCTCGTAAGCAAGGTCGATATTGGTATGTTGCTTAACAGCTAGCACGAATCCAGCTGAAAAAAGGGAGGAAATTGTCAGAAATTGTCGACTTACAGCAGCTACAGAAGTGGACATTAAGCAAGATCAGGGCAATAGTCGCTGTCAAGAGGATCATTGATTGACGGATGATGCAGGTCATGTGGGGTAGTTTGGGTGGAAATAACTTTTCCTCACTCATTTAGCGGACCTATGAATCTATTTATACCATGCTAATGAAGAGTCCAGTTCACTATCCAACAGGTGACCTCGCCCTTGCGAATCAGACTGTTTTCATTGGGAGTTATGATTTGTTTACTGTACATTATTCTGACAGTTATTTTGCTCCATTTTTTATCGCGCGGGCGTCGACCATACATCCCACAGTGCAACCAGGCACTTGCCTAAGTCGCTGCCTCGCGTTCAGACACAGAAGCACTTTTTTCCATGTTTTGTTAAGGAACACTTGACACTAGCTTCTGCGCCTTCGTCTTGGTTCAAAATGTTTTTCTGGAAATGAACTCAAGAGAGATAGCAGATGACATGCTTTATAGAATTATCCAGCAATTGGGATTGTTGGCGTTTTTACAGGTCCTGAGTCCCTCTTTGGAATGGGTTTCGATTCTGCCTTGGGTTTTTTCTATGCTAAGTTGACAAGGATTTTAGGGCTTGCTTTAGGGATTTATGGCCTAGGGTCAGGGTTGCGGTTACGCTCAAGTTTTCCTTAAATACTTTCGGGTTAAGGCATAGGGTTACCTATTACCTCCATGGTCATAGTTGTCTTTAGGATCATAGCTAACCAAGGTTTTCCCAGGGGTTTACATACTATACCACCTGCCGGCAGATGCAGTATTACATGCTTTGCAATGAAAATGTACTCACGAAAAGCAGCGAAGACGAAAACGCGAAAATTTTCAGTAAATAATTAGATTCAATTCTCAGAAATAAATTATGTCTGCTTTGGTGATTTGATTTGTATGGTGACATTTTGCTTGTTATGTTATTTAATATTACCCGTAAACTACAAACTGCCATGACAAATATACCAAGTTTTAGGCATACTTGTGTAACACACGCCACCTTTAGATAACTACGTGTCTAGCGATATTTGTTATACATACGTGCTTGACCATAGGATTTAAAATCTCGAACTCCGATAATGCAGCCTATATTTTCGAAAAGTCGCAGTCGAGTCAAAAAAATTATGACTGAGTAATGAAACGCACTAAATTTATTGTCAACTGATATAATTTGTAGTAACAAAATCACGCGAGGACACAGTACGCTACCTCAGAACGACGATATTTACAATTCCTGATAGAAGCGTGCAGGCGAGTTCCAGGTAGCGGTTCAGGAGATGAAGATGCGATCACTGGAACAAGAAATCTATTTGCCTGACTTTTCGGATTCTGACTCGAATCCATCATCAGAGACATTCGCAGATAAAGGTGATGGTGGCACCAGGAGTGCAGTATTTATAGCACGTGGATGCCTGGGACCGTTTGCACACTGCAATTAACCATTCCCGCAATCACCGCTGGGGTCGTAGTTGATGCGTTGGTGGCTTGTCGGTCCGAGTCCGAGTCGTTAATTGCCGTGATTTCGTCATCCGTGCTGGATGCTGGTGTGACGATTGCTCGGCAAACTGGCTCACTGTCATTGTGATGATCGCTCGACCGCGCCCTCCCCACGTGACTGATTTTCCTGCCCAGGGAAAATCGCAGTACGGAATAGGGTACCGGGAGATCATTGTGCTTGTTGATGGAATGCAGTCCTGAGAACCATGACGCGAGCGCCTCGCGGCTTACGCGGTTGTCACCCCTTGCGACGATTGTTTGTGTACAGCAGAAATATTTTTTAAATTAGGCAGTTTTTACATCGACACATATAGTAGAGACGACTAAAACTTGCAGAAATCGCTAATCACTTCTTAATTCTCTATATTTTACAGTATTCACCAAACTAAGAGGGCATGAAATTAGTGAATCATGCGCGTTGCTCAGCGTAATGACTCAAGTGCAGTCGGATTAGCAGGCCAAATCAGTGAATATAAAAGAGAATCAAACGCGACTGCTTCACTGAGCATGCAGGAGTTTTCCGTTAGTGCGCATATACCTTTTTCAGTCCGTTGGAACTATGAACTTTCGTTTGGTAAGGCGGGTCACCAACGTGGTACTTGCGCGGGACGTGGTTGGCGCGCAAGGGCTGCAATTTAGTATCCCGAAGATTTGTATTTGCTTTAGTTTTCAAAAATTATCGTAGACCCATGAGTCGAACAGCTCTCGGCCCACGCGCTTGCATTTGAACCTTGAAAATGTGGTTGGATGCCGTCTTTTCGCATTACTGCTGCTGTGTGCCCGAACACTGGTGTCCAGAGTAATCTCCCAGTTTCTCTGCCTTAGTTGCTGTATCCGCCAATGCACCGCAGGCGGTAAACGACTTCAGACGCTTCCTGTCTTGACAACTGGTCTTTCGACCTTATGACTTGGGGTCTGAACGTCGCCTCCGGCGTAACCCCGACTCTGAGTGCAGTAAGAAGTAGACTGGCGACTTCCGAGGAATTCTTCAAGTACAGAGGAGCAGGCCGAAAATTAGTGCTAGTTGTCCTCCCGTGTCAGTTACAGTATACATGCCCTCCCAAGCAACGGCTGTGTTTGATAATAGGCTCGAATGATAATTCGAAAGGTCAGGCCAATATTCCTGTTCCTGTGGTCGCATCTTCTTCTTCTCCTTCTTTTACGAAAAGCTTCTGAACATCCTCGACAAATGCGACCGCTAGCTCTGACGTCCTATCTTTGTCCGTAGACTCAAGCTCACCGCAGTCTTCTGACTAGTCTGTGGTGAGGTACCTGATTAATTTACCTTTAAAAATTTAGCCCCATTTTCTTTGACCGCTTTGCTTGTTTGAATGTGACGAAAAAAGACACACCTTTACAACCCGCGTTGCTAGCGTGCTCCTCTGTCGTGGTCTGTTGTCAGTTTTCTTAACGTTTAAAATCTCTATATTATTCATTGCTCCGTATTTACTTGCTGCCTTAAGGCTAGGGGTTCGTGAGATATAACTCGTTAGTTCGTGAGAACATTACCACTTACGACATTGGTGACTCCCGACGTTTACGCAGACTTTATACCTTTCTGTCCTACTGGATAACATTTAACGTACTATTTGCTTGTGAATATCTACTCCATTTACATTTACTTTCCTCACGAATTCTGATATTTTGACATCTCTGTCTTATTATATCTCGCTCCGATCAACAACTTGATGCCCCCGCCCAGTCGCTTCATGCAATCAATTTTACCTTGCCTGAATTCTGGCAACACGCTCCAGAACTTTACTTCATCCGCATAGAATCAGCCTTTTATTTTGCCAACGTTACCAAGGAGCTTGCAAAATACCACAAACTCGTGGAGGTCCTCCACGCTAGTGTCATTTCTCAAGTTCAGTCCTTGCTATCTAATCCTTCTGCAGATGCTCCCTACTCCGCGTTAAAGGTAGAAATCCTCCGACTTAATTCTGTGTCTGACCGACAGAGGTATCACCAGTTAATTAAGGAGGAGTCACTGGGTGACCGGAAGCCCTCAGAGCTTCTACGCCGGATGCGTTCTCTCCTTGGAGACATGCAAGTTAATGATAAATTTGTCAAGGAGATGTTCCTAGAGCGTCTGCCCGCAGATGTTCAAACGATTCTGGCATCTGGTTATCAGGATCTTACGGTATCACAGCTGGCGGAGATGGCGAATCGAACGATAGAAGTGCAACGGTTCCAGTCACCTTCCGTTGCCCCGATCTCCTCATCTTCATCGTCAGTGAATGAAAATCTAGTAAAACAGGTGTCGGCCATGGCGGATGAGATGGCCTCCCTTAAAATACAGCTTGCCCGCCTAACTTCCAGTCGCTAACGCAGTAGTCGTCGTTCTCGTTCGCGACCTCGGACTGCTGATACTTGCTGGTACCACACTAATTTCGGCGTAAAGGCCCGTCGCTGTTCTTCACCTAGTTCTTTTAAGCCAAAACAGGGAAACCAGTCAGCCAGAGAATAGATGCGACCGTTTTCTCCCTCTCTTTCGGCTCTGGTCAGACCTTCTGGTTTGCGACACTGCAACTCGCAGACGTTTTCTGGTGGACACTGGAGCTCAAATCAGTGTTGTTCCTCCAACTGCAGCTGATCGTTGTTTCACTAGCCCTGGTCTTCATCTTCAAGCTGCTAACTATTCCCTAATTCCCACTTTTGGCAGTCTGTCCCTCACCCTGAACATTGGCCTTCGTCGGTCATTAACTTGGATCTTTGTGATTGCTGATGTCCCTCATGCAATCCTCGGCTCGGACTTTCTTGCCGAGTTTGATCTCCTTGTTGACTGTCGACGTGCCCGTCTTCTCGACCGCACAACCGGTCTGTTTGTTCGTGGACTAACTCCCTTTACAACCCCCACAAACTTATCTGTTTTGGATACGGATATTGCTAGTCCTTTTCGGCAACTGCTTCTTAGTCACCCCAACATAATTAACCCCCAGTTTCGCAGTGGTGAGTTTCAACATGATGCTGTGCACCATATCCGCACCTCAGGTCCTCCCGTGTTTGCTCGACCGAGACAAATAGCACCGGAGCGTTTTCAAGCCGCGAAGGCGGAGTTTGAACACATGCTGCAACTGGGAATAATTCGACCGCCCGAGAGCCCTTGGGCGTCCCCACTGCACATTGTGCCCAAGGTGACATCAGGCGACTGGCGACCCTGTGGCGACTATCGTGCCCTCAACAGAGCTACCATTCCTAATCGGTAACCCGTGCCTCATCTTCAGGACTTTGCTGTAGCCCTTTTCGACAAAGCGGTTATCTCGAAGATTCATCTGGTGCGTGCCTTTCATCAGATTCCATTCGCCCCTGAGGACATCCCTAAAACCGCCGTCACCAATCCCTTCGGTCTCTTTGATTTAGTACGCATGCCGTTTGGTCTTCGTTATGCCGCCCAAACGTTCCAGAGGTTCATTGACCATGTCCTACGTGACCTACCCTTTGTGTACGCCTACATTGATGACCTCTTGGTGGTCAGCCGGAATAAAAAAGAACACAAAGAACAGCTTGCCTTGGTGTTTGACCGTCTTGACAAGTTTGGTGTTGTCATCAACCCCTCCAAGTGCGTGTTGGGTGTGCCTTCGCTCGAGTTCCTTGGTCATCAGGTTGACTCTGAAGGTTTGCGTCCCCTCCCTTCCAAGGTTGAAGCAATTCGTAATATTCCTCCTCCAACTTCCAATAGTCAGTTACAGCGATTCCTCGGCATGGTCAATTTTTACCGTCGGTTCCTACCGAACTGTGCTGACCTCATACTGCCGCCCACCAACATGCTTTCTGGTCCCAAAGGTCCCCTCGAGCTGACTGGTGAAGCACTGACTGCTTTTGAGAGAATCAAGAATTCGCTTGCCGATGCCACCTTACTTACGCATCCCGCTCCCGAAGCTCAGCTGTCCCTGATGGTAGATGCTTCGAACGTAGCCGTAGGTGTAGTCCTTCAACAACACCTTGCTGGTTCGACTTAACCACTTGCCTTTTTCTCCAAAAAGCTCTTACCAGCTGAGACACGCTACAGTACCTTTGGCCATGAACTACTTGCCATTTACCTGGCTGTGAAGCATTTCCGGCATTTCCTTGAAGGTCGTGGGATAGGCATGAAGACTAGACCAGACGACACCACTGCATCCTAACACCATTTTGGCCTACTGCAGCCGCCTAAGACGTGATCCGCGGGACAGTGGGCTGGTGTCAGGTGGGGCGGTGTGGACCTGGTCATAGTTCGATATCAGGACAGACACCCCCCAGCGACCTGGAGAAATTTCCTCAGTTAGACAGCCGATGCGCATCCGATGGAGCAAATTACACCCCGGACAGCTGCCAAAGAATCATCGCAGTAGATAAAACCGCCTAAGATTACCGACAGATGAGGGCTTAAAAGCTGTCGGCAGAGTCGAAAGTATCTCAGAGGATTTATTTGTAGATAGTTATACACGCTAATCATGGCCCCGGCTCCACAACGTTGTTTGCATTATTATCTACATGCAAAAAGCAGTGGAATATATGTATGTGCCAAAGTGAAGGCAGTCGTTCACTGGGGGAGGGGGGGTTTAATATAGTCATGGGCACAGATATCATAATATGGCTTACTTTGTTTTATGCGTGGTTAGCTAATGCCGCCTGTGTGGCTGCATCCGAACCGCATATCACCGTGACCTAAATCGTCTACACTTTCATCGTTGGCTAAGATATGTGACGGCTCCGACTGTCCCGTGCCGTGCCGGTCTTCGGACAAGAAGTCTCGTCAAAACATATAGAGGGGAGGCAACTTGATGTGGCGGTTGACAAGGCAGTCGGTGGACATCCAGGCTTTTTGCACCTACCTTGCCGTATGATCGTCGTCCAAAGTCTACAATCTCAACGGCCTCAAAGTACCATTTGCGCGGTATGGGTTGCTACATCCGAATTCGGGTCCGATCTTCGCACGCCCAAATTATGCTCGTGCATTCGCGTTTGCAGCGCACGAATTTAAAGTCTCTGAAGTTGGCTATATTAAGAAATGGCAAGATCTCATTTCGGTGGCGCACCTTTTAGGGGGTTAGAGTTATGTTTAAGAGTTAGCGTTTGGGACTAAGTGTTAGGGGTTATGGTCAAGGTTAAAAGTTACAGTGCGTGACCTATCTCATGAAATGTTGGCTGAAATTCTCAAATGCGTTTTCGATTAGGAAGGATTACTTGGTCGCAGTTGTGATACTGATTATCTTTAGCCATACATTTTAGACTCGGCAGGATGTCTCCTTTATAATGCACTTCTTTTCAATCTCCTGTAGAAATCGTGCTCGGTAAAAAATGACAACTTAAATAGCATGCATTTTTTCCATTGATTTTCGATGGTTTTGAAAAGTCGAATATATGTTATAGAAACCACAAAAAAATGTGCTTTCTTTTAGTCAGTCATTAGACAATCACGTCTTCTTTATACTGTCTATTGACGAAAGATGGATAATTACGTTTTAAAACGCTCTATTGCCCCCTGTCCCATATGACAAGTGGCGGGAGCTAGTCTACGGCAGGTGCCCCTATGAAATAAAATTTGAACGAAGTAACTATTTGAAACGTCAGACCTTTCATAAACCTCTCCTAGCGAACGCCTACGCACCTGGTCATATACCACGTGGGGATGACATTTTTAATACTATAGGTATGTATATACATCTTGTCAACGTTCTGACTGACAAGCTTACTCTTCCTTTGGAATACGGCCTGACGTCTGCCCTCCACAATTACCTCCAACTGGACTGCTGACTCACTCCAAGCGTGACGAACATGGTTACATCGGATTATTCCGCCAACTTAATCACCATGCTGTAGTTGCTGTGCTTTTGAGTCATGCTGCCGACTTCAAACCATTTTATAACGGCATTTTGTTAGAAGTAAAACATAAAACCCAACCATATCAATAACACGCAACCTGCCCCAATGCGTTCAAAACATCTTTCAACAATTTATACGAAGGATATTATAAGAAGAACGATTGTCCAGTTGTCATTTCTATTGAGGACAGATGGAAGCTTTGAATTACGCCTCCAATGAGACGGCTATTTAGTTGTTGTTTAAGAGCACACCCAAAAACGGAATTATTGAAAGAAACAGGCTGCATTTGAACTGTTGCAATGAGCCAGATGTTTTGTTCATTTTCGGCCATTTGAGAAAATGTGTGGGATACATCAAGGGGGGTGCAGCGTGGTAGGCCACAAATTTGTAGGTTTCATTTTTCCCAACGTTATCTGTCAGAGAAAAGACTAGGTTCTCCGTCTCCATACGTCCTGTTACTCTCATGATCTTATAGTTCACACCGTCGGCTTGTTCTTAAATGGATAGTAAAATTAATCATCTCCGTCAGATCTTGAGCATCGCAACGTAGTGCGCAACTTACCAAAGGGGATAATTATTTTCAGCCCCTTTCTGCTTGAAGTCGACCCATATCTGCTAATATTTCCCAGCAGCCTGATCTCCTTGAAAAAAAGATAATTGGTTCATTTAGCATTTTGCGCTTGAATCATGATCTTGACAGATGAATAACCAAGTCAAATGTAAATCTCAAAAAATATTTCAGCATAATTGTAATGAGTGTGGTCTTTTGGTACCTTTATATTTTCATCCATGACAACAGCAACTGGTCTCGCATAGCCCGGTTGTGCGACAATGGGTATTATGTAATGGACACCGAGGATCTCTGACAAAATAAGAAAAATGTGATTTGTGAAATTAAAATGACATATGTTTGGGGTAGATTCCCCTGTTGTTTGGTTTTATTGACGTACTTCAGATTTCACGAATTATTTTAAAATTTGGACTATATACCTGGGAAGAAATCCGTTTCGTTCACTACGACGATCGCGATTTTTGCCTTTTTGGGATTTTCGGGTATGAGAATAACCGCAGAGTAGCTTTCATAAGTTCCATCATTGATTAGAAAACTTCTTCTTCCTTTGTCCAAAAACAGTACAACAGTTATATTTCCCAAATATTAGAAGTCACAATTTGGAGAGCACCATAAGTGATCTGAACATCGATCAGATAGCGACCGCATTTAATTGCCTTTGTGTCGTGGATCTGTGTCTGTTTATGTTTGCGAATTTGAAGGGACAAAATGTAAAAGGCTCAACAACTCACTTGAATAGAATTCTACACACTTATTCGGATGTTCGCAGGGATGCCTTGGTGTTCGATGCGCAAATCCTGATTCCGAAGATTTGAACTGCACGGAGAAAACCACAGTAATATTTCGAATTTCCAGTTTTTATTAAAAGATATTTCGACATTTTACATACCCGGAAGGATGCTGGAACTTCGTAAGCAAGGTCGATGTTGGTATGTGGCTTTACATGTAGCCTGAATCCAACTGCAAATGAGGAGGGAATTGTCAGAAATTGTCGACATACAGCAGCTACAGAATTGGACATTGAGCAAGATCAGGGCAATAGTTGCAGTCACGAACATCATTGAATTACGGATGATGCAGGCCATATGTGGTAGTTGGGGTGGAAATAACTGTTCCTGCCTCATTTAGCGGACCTATGAATCTATTTATACCATGCTAATGAAGGGTCCAGTTCACTATCCAACAGGTGGCCTCGCCCTTGAGGATCAGACTGTTTTCATTGGGAGTTATGTTTTTGTATTGTACATTATTTTGACAGTTGTTTTGTTCCCGTTTTTACCTTTGCAGGCGTCGACATTGCACCACACAATGCAATCAGTCATTTGCCTGAGTCGCTGCCTCGCGCACAGACACAGGAGAACTTTTGTCCGTGTTTTGTTGAGTAACACTTGCGCTAGCTTATGCGCCTTCATCTTGGTTCTGAATGTTTTTGGAAACTAACGGATGAGAAATACTCAGTCACATGCTTTGTAGAATTATCCAGCAATTGGGATAGTTGGCTGTTTTTACATGTCTCGAGTCCCTCTTTTGCAATCTGTTTCGATTTTGCCTTGGGCTTTTGGTATGCTTATTTTGACAAAGTTTTTACGGCTTGCGTTAGGGACTTATGGCCTAGGGTCAAGGTTGCGGTTACACTCAAGCTTTCCTTAAAGGCATTCGGTCTAAAGCTTTGGGTTACCTTTTACAGTCATGATCACGTTTGACATTAGGATCGCAGCTTAACAAGGTTTTCCGAGGGGCTTACATACAATACCCTTGCCGACAGATGCAGTATTAAATGCTCTGCAATAAAAATGCACTCAAGAAAAGCATCGAGGACGAAAACGCGAAAATGTCCGGTAAAGGATTAGATTAAGTTCTCAGAAATACATAATGCCCGCTTTCGTGATTTGATTTGTATAGCGAATTTTTGCTTGTCACGTTATCTATTACTACTAGTAAAGCACAAGCGGTCATAAAACATAGACCAATTTAAAACCATACTTGTGTGATACTTGCTACATTCATATAATTACGTGCCTAGTGACAGACACACTTGACCGTAGGTTTTACAATTTCGAAACTTCGATAATACAGCCTATATTTACGAAAAATCCCAGTCTAGTCAAAAAAATATAATTACTGAGTAATGAAACGCATTACATTTATTGTCAACTGATATACTTCGTAGAAGGAAACTCTGGCGGGGACGCAATATGCTACCTCAGATACGACAATATTTACAATTGCCTACTCATTATGTCAAAGTAGGGGTGTCAAGCTTTGTTTGCTGTGTTCGGCACATATCCAGTCTGCCTGGGTCTGAGCCCCTACTCCTCTCCTGACAGCGCAGGTTTCGAATCAAGAAGGAAATTAAATGACATCTTTCGTTGTAAGTGGTCTTGAATTGAAGTCCGTCGGTCAATTGCCCGGGTTCCATGTCGATAAATTCTGCATCCTCAGAATGACTGCAGGGTGTAATTTTCACAACGCATTAAAGAGGCATGATAGAAAAAACCCTAACTTAGCTGAACTGGTACATTCCCAAAAACGTTCTCCGATCTTTACAGTTATTAATTGGGAACGATGCAATATCTTTCAGAT